TTCATGAGGAAATGGCACAGGCAGGAGGTGGAAGCGTCCGCGAAACGCCAGCGCGCGAGGGAAGCACAAGCAGAGAGTACGGCCTCAGGACCGAAGGGAAAGAGAGCCGGGGAAGCGGCGGTGGGGGGGAAGAAACGGCGACCGGGCACTGCTGTAGAAGCGAGTAGGGCGGCCGAGGCAGCACTTGTGGTGAACTATGTACCCGGCTGATGTTGTTGCGCCCTGTTTCCCTCCCTGCTGTATGCTATACTCCTTTATGTATGTCCTTTGTATTGCCTTCGGCCTCTGTGCTGTGTTTCTTTTTTTCATGACCTCCCTGCCTACTCTGCTGTGTTGGGTACCTTGATCTCGCTTTGCTGTTGCCTTTGTTTTTGTACGTCTGGCTGTCTGCCCATCTGCCGCCTCTTTGTCCTGTTTTCTCCGTTACTCCCATGCCCTGGTGCGTAGTGCCTGGTGCTGGTACGTCCTTTGATTTTTTCTTTGGGCGGGTGTGGGAAGCTTTCTCCTGTAGTTTTGTTTTTGTTTTATTTTGATCGGTTTCCGAGGGCTCTTTTCTCGAACGGTCGGTGCGATACCTGTTCTTTTCTTTCTATCATTTTGTTTTCTTTCGCCGAGTGGTTTGTGCCCTATTTTTGTTTTGTTTCCCCGCGGCGTCGTATGTGCCGGGTTTTGAGACCACGGGCTCCCCATTTTTTTGGACTAAAGAGCTAATGTGAGAAACAACAACAACAACAACAACAACAGCAATAACAACAACTATGCTATGAGTATATCTAACATGATTATTATTTTGTTTGCCCTCCGACAGTTGCAGATAAATGCAGACATACATAAAAAGCAGGTAGGCCGTCATGCCAAGCCAAATTAACTCGATGCCCAATAGCTAGGAATGTTTGCCTCTAAGTCAAACAAAACTTTGGTTGAAACACTACAGCTGAACTCTAGGCACGAACCTTAGATGGAGAAAAACGAACCAAACCCCAACCTCATCCACCCGAAACCAAACAAAACTCGGCCCCGTCTTCCCTGGTACCCCTGACACCGTATCGAACAGAAATCCACTTTCCACCGAAATGGTTAGGTTGAAGCTGTCGCACGCATATTCGGGCGCGGAAAAAAGTCTGTGCGGCATTGCTGATCGATACTGCCACCGGTCACACCAAGAGAGAAACACCCGCCGTCTTGCTCTTTCTGAGGCAACCCTCATTCAAGCCCATGTTCCCCCGGACGCCCGACACTGCCACCCCCTGTTCCTACTTCCTCGCCACTGTTGATCCCGACTCGAGGACTCTCCTGCAATAGCGGAGGCATTGACATGTTGCAGTGCTGGAGACGTACCGAGGTCCTGACCAGGGGACAAGGGCTGGACGCCTGCGTGTGTACGGCGGTGGTGTGTGTGATGTCCCGTTCTGCTAAAAGCCTGTGCGCTTCGTGTCGCGCTGGGTGAGTGGAGGGGGTCCGTCCATGCCCGAAGGGTATTTTGTACTAGCATTTTGCGCCACACCCTACCTAACACTGACCACAATTTGACGGCGTGACGGTGCGGTATCCACCAATCAGCGGTCTCTAATTCACCTGTCGTCTGGTGTCTGGCGTCTGTCAATGCTATTCGGCCGCAACACCGCGAACCGAGTTATGGAACACACAGCCCCGTACAACACACGACTCAACCTTGCAGCCGGGGAGCTGGAACCGGGGCATACCACATGCCCACAGCAGGGAAGGGGCCACCATCCAGCACTTCACAATACCCAACCTGTACGTACGTACATGTAGTACCAGCGTGTGCAGCTGGTTCCGTAGCTTGGCACAGTAGGACAATTTTACAGCACCTACTTGTAGCACATACAAGTCGCACGTCGACTACTTGTACGTAGCCTTTGCTGTTTCGCAACACTCCAGACAGCGCCCACTGTCGTTGTCGATGAAGGAGAGCCGAGCACAACCACACCCAAAGTGCGCCATAGACACACCTCGCATCCGGCCCCTCGTCACGACCCTCACGAGCGGGCGGGTAAATATCATGTGGCACCATCTATGTACAGCAGTAGCTACAGAGCAGCAGAGCCTACATAGAGTGTGTGGGACGGTCGACACGCACGGTGTACCGTGTACCCTGCGACGATGGTACATATCTGTCCGATTGAATATTCGCGAAACGACGTATGGATACAACAAGGGGTGCATGGATAGACTGTTCCTGCTGAAACTGGGCCCACTCCTGCCTGGGCACATTTTAACAAAAAAAATGGTAGCCAAGAAAAACAAAAGGAGATAGCGGTAAGCTACATACCGCGTTTATTCAAGGAGCGGGTCTGTCTGTGGAATGCTACATAGGATGATGCATTTTCACTGTGCCTGCTGACATGACACGATGCCCTCTTGAGTCGTGGGAATAAACGACTGTCACGTTTGGAGATGCAACATACGTAGTCTACATACAGCGATATCTTGCGTTCGGCTGGGTTTGAAACAACCCTTTTGCTGTCCTCCGCTCTTGAATCGGCGTCTTCCTAGTTTTAGGCGAGGGCATGTAGATCTAAGGTGTGTGTCTCCAAGCAGAAAGGAATTGTCGTATTGGCGTTCGCGATCTTGCCCGCTGACACCGACATCTGATCTCTTCCTTGGCCAGCCGTTTAGCGCGTTCGGCCCGCACTTAATCCGCGTTCAATGCGCACCAACAGACGGGACATCCATCCTCCGGTCAGAACACATCTCAAGTAAAGTGATGGTGATCGGGCATCTCTGTATCTATCTTGATTTAGCGGCATTATTATCAAGCAACACGCACAATGAAGGCCCAATGTACCGCATCCTTTTCGATGGAGACGGGATACATATCTGAGCGGCATCTCCGCGTGCGTGGTTGTTTCTTTGCTGCCGGGGACCACATGGATGACTGGTGACAATGATAGGTGGGACAACACTTTGTGTGAGGCATTGACCAGGCAGAAAAAAATGCTTGATACCATGCCTCCTCCAAAAGTCGACGTGTGTTAACACTTCTTGGATGCGATGCTGTCGAACACCGATTGCATCAATGTGTTGCACCTCGATGAAGAAAGTAAAGACCCAGACGCGATGGAGTATATCGGCGCTGCTGATCTGTCTACGAACGTGTGGATTTCGGTGGTTAAAGCAGGCCTGCTTCTGGTACGCGCGCACACGGGTTGCCATCGTTTGTTGCGGCAATCGGACGATACTGCAGTGATTGTTGGTATGTGTTTATGAGGCCCGCCTGGAATGTACATTTCGATGTGTCTTATGTTTTTACTTCATGTCAATGTAGTGTAGACATGGATATGCCTGCATGGATGTACCGGTGTGTGCCTATCCTGGAAACAGCCGCATCGATATGGGAGCCGGTCTCTGGCTTTGATTCCCAACCCAAAACTACATGCATGCTTCGAAGTGTCAACATCTGCTGTTCGGGTGCGTACTTCCGAATATGTCGGGGGGGATTCTTGAAGGCCCCGACAAGGTAGCCTGAGGTGTACGAGGGCTCAACCGCGATTGAGTGCTGACGTGACCAACCGAGGCGTACCCTCTCCATTCGAAAGCGGAAGTTTCGAACACCAGAGGGATTCCGCGTCACAGCTCGTGGCGCCAAAGGATGCTATTGTTGACTCTCACTCTCGTGTAGCGCGACCAAATAACACCGCGTGGAGGATATCGATGGCCCTCCTTATCCTCTCAACCTTTGCAAAGAAGCCCCATCTCACTCAATAGGAAAACCCACGACAAATTAACGGTGGCAACGATCTGTTGGTCACTCGATCTGATACTTACTGTATGGATACCGGCAACATCCCTAAGGACTATCCACACGGAATTTCGAAACGATTTGCCAGACGATGATGGACAAAATATTGGTCTGCAGGCTGCTCCTGCAAAAAATACTCTCAAAAATCATCGGTTCCGACACCAACAATCATCGGACAATACATACATTTCAAAACAAAGAAAAAGAGAACAACAACACTGGAGGCTACTCCTGCAACAAGCTGCTAGCCTGCAGAACCACGGGATACTCAACGATATTCTTCGCTTCTCAGGCGAGAAACGATGGGGAGGCAAAGAGACAAACGACATTAAGCATCAGCGAGCTCCAAGTTGAAAGGGTTTACCGAAGCAGCTCTTGGGGTGCCACCGACTTTTGACCCTTGCACAAACTCTACCGTACCGTTTTGGAAATATGGCCAACAACTCCGCACCGGTCACTATAAGCTACCTTCAACCCAAGCCTAACGGCACAGCCACTCCTATCCTTTTGCCTGAACAACTCACGTGCAGACCGCAAATTGAGGTCACCAGTCGACGGCCGTCGAATTTCCGCTTTCCATCAAGACTTCGCTGAGTACCTGGAACAACACGAGAGTGTGAGACAGCAGACCACAACACGCAGCAAGGAAAGGCGTTGATTGGTAGGGGCGAGTTCGAGCGCTGACTGTAGACAGTATTTGCCTTTGGGGCTGGAATGAGGACGAGAGGAAGGTGCAGTCTTCCCGCAGCCAACGGTCAGGACCCGAACTCCTCATGCAAGTTTTTCTCGGCATGGTAGTCCAACCCGATTGGAAGAGCACCACGCCTTGACGTGTGGACGCAGCCCTGACTGTTGAGGTATGACCTCTCACGACCACGAAAACAGTGAACGTTGCCAGAAAAGCGGTGCCGTGGTGAGCGGGGGGCTTTCAAACAACACACCAGCACTGTTGCACTTGGTAATGAGGCAACACCATATCGAGCCAACAATGTATGCATTGACTGCAATCTCCAGCAAATGGTCCTATAGACAAAACCTCGTCCATTCGCCCTTCGCCTCAGGATTGGCAACATGGGTCTCAGCTGTGGTCCAGTTGTCGAGGTTGCCTTGGTCTTCGGGTTAGGAGAACCACGCGCAGCCAACCCAACACGGGGTATCCCATTTTGCCAGAGCCAAGAGGTCGCATGGACGGCCTCCACCCGCAATAGCAAGCGGCGGATCAGCCCCAGCCGGTGCTGCAGCTCGTCTGGAATGGCTGTCCCATAAGCTGCCTTTTGGTGCAGGGCGTTGGTATCGACCGACATGGGCGTGCATACGACTGGCAATGTTCCCGGTTGGATGGTGAAGCGAACGATCGATGTCGTGTCCGCTCCAGCGTCGACGAGCAACCGCACCACCTTTGGAGAGCACGACGGGTACAGACGAAATCGATGTTGCAAATCAAAGGTGTCCTGCCGCAAGGGTCGCGCGGGCGGCTTACGTACACGGATTTTCCTGAAGGCGTCCCGTTCTGCTGCAGCAATAGGAAGTTCACAACATCCATGTGGCCAAAGCTGGTGGCCCGACCAGGGCAATGCCTGTGTCGACCACCCCGGCGGTTGTCAAGGCGATCATGACGTCTAGGTGGGCATTCACGGCAGCCATTCACAAAGTTGTCACGCCACCGCTTGCACCGCCACAGCCCCGGATCCCGAACCTCTGAAGCAGCTCGAGTGTAACTCCTAAGCGCCCGTTCTGAGCAGCTGTATCCAAGGGAAGGTGCTGCCCGGCCAAACTCGCTCTAGTCAGCAAAGGGTTGGCCTTCGCGCGGAGCAGTTCCTTGACATCGTCTACCCAACCCGCCCACGCTGCACCGTACAACGGTGTCTCTCCGGTGGGCATGCGGCTGTTTACGTCAGCGGCTGCGTGCATCAGCTCTTTCACCACCTCCAACTGCCCTTCCCCTGCTGCGACGTGAAGAGGTGTGGCACCCTGAGCACCCAGGACTGCTACGCTTGCCCCTGCCTTGAGCAACATTTTGGTCACGACCGGGTTTCTCTTGAAGACCGAAAAACGCAACGCGGTATTGCCGTCATCGTTGGTCGCTGAAGCACTCGCTCCCTTGCTGAGTAGTAGGATGCTGACAACGCCCGGATGATCGTTGTAGATGGCGTGATAGAGAGGGGTCGCACCCCAGGGATCGCGATCGTGATGTCGATCGATCTAGTTGAGAGGATGGCAGCGGTGAGCTAAGTCGAACCCTCACGTGCGGCCTCATGTGGCTGGTTGCTAACTCGAGGCCTCTCCAGTGACGGAGGTTTTGACATGTTGAAATAGCGCTGCTCGAGACGTACCGAGGTCCTGGTCAGGACACGAGGGCTAGACGCCTGCGTGTGGTCCGGCGATGGTGCGTGTGGTGTCCTGTGCTGTTCGCCGTCCCCTGTAGCCTGCCTGAGATGCAGCTGGCGACTGGCGGTGACTTGGAGGGGGCCCGTGGGTGCCGAACGGGTACAGGGACCAACCCTAAAACCGACACAATGACGGCGGCGCGACTGCGTGGTATCCGCCAATCACCGGTCTGAATTTCCGCCGCTTTTCGGGTTACCGAGAAGGATGTCCCACACGACTCAATCTTCCCGCTGGGGAGATGCAACCACGTCCACAGGAGGACAATGGGACCATCAGAATGGGTAGATTCGTATCATGTGTGCGCAGCTCGGTACATACACATGTACGCAAAGGTGGTAGTTTTTTCGCAACGCATCAAAACAGCCTACTACGATACAAGTATGATACTACGGCACACGCAGTTGCCGATGACGGAGAGCAGCACACCCAGAGTGCAACATACACACACCTCGCATCCGCCCATGGTCGCGACCCCCACGAGCGGGCGGGGAAACAACATATGGCAACATCTAGCTCACAGCGAACCACATCATCGGCAGATGGTGCCTTGGACCCTGCCACGGTGGTACATTTCTTTTGTGAACTAATCACAACACTGAAACTTCGAGAATTCGGGTGTGTGCGTGAATCATCCGATTTCACTGCAGGATCCTGGATTGATTCCTGCCGGAATGTTCACCAAACAATGCCAAAAAGCGTGCAAACTACTACCACATGTCTCGCGCGAGGAGTTTCAACCCTCCGTGCGTAAATTCAAGCAAGGGTCTGCTGAATGCCGCGCACTTGCTCACACACACATATTTTGATCTACGCATCGGCGAAGGTGTGCAGATTTAAGCCTGCCATTGTGGAGAGCAGTATCACTTCTCATCGATTGCGGTTTTTATCTCGAAGGGTAGCACTTCATTGATCGTCAAAACACTTTCTAAGAAAGCTAGATTTGTCCCGCTCCAAACACTAACCCATCATCGTTTCGCTGCTGCAATCACACGTCTTGAATGCGGAAGCACTCGGGAACACATCACTCCGGAAATGAAACAAAGAAAACGTAAGCGTCGACCGCGCAATACCCCCTAGCTCTACCGTCGGCCGCAACCCATGAAACTGCACTATTGAGGCTACCAGTATATAGCGAAATAAGTAGCCTCAATCTCCGCCGCACGCGGTATGTAGAAGGCTTCACAGCGCCTCTAGGCCGGAAAAACTCGGACCAACCCCCGTCGGACACGCGAGAAACAACCTCGGAACAGAAAGCCAATGCTACGTAGGTATCCGCCTGTGAATCCACCTGTGTTCCCGCACCCCTTTCCAAAGTCTGCTGCGAATAGCAAACAGCAAGTTGATATATTTCGCTCTACCGCAACGCAACCCCTGACTCAACACAACCAGAATGCCAACAACGCGAAACGTGTTGGGAATGTGGCAGCCACAGAGAGATCACTCGCAGTCTAGAGTACACCCATGCCACATGGGTGCCAACGGCGTCCAAGAATTGAGGAAACAATTACATGCGACAGTAGAGGCCCGGAGAACCTGAATTAAATTTCGGGTCTAGGCTCAGTGCCTTACCACCATCGAGCACAGGCCACAAAGGGTCAAAATTTGAATGCTCTACTGAGCTGTGTTCTCTATTCTACATGGCTCGTGAACATTTGAGCCTTGTATTTGATCAACTGCGGGCCCGCCCCGTGCAACACCAGCTCGAACCGTCACCAATGCCTCTAACCTCCTCGCTCAACATATTGGCGACGAGCTGTGCCATGCCACATGACGACGGCGATGCAGACCACTGTTACACAGTGACAACAGAAGCGCACTGCGCTTACGTCTACTCACCGGCGGCGGGCGCCTGGGCGGCTTGCGGCGCGTAAGAACTCGCCTTGTGCTGCGGCAGCAGCAGAACATGGTTTATCGCGAGAAATGGGGAAGACAGGGGGGTCAGAGTCGCGTTCGATAAGGGGTGAGCTGGCGCCAACACCCGACCGTATTTGATTACTTGATGTCGGAGGTCAGCAGAATAGAGCAAAGCAGAGGACATCAGACTTGCCAGGACTAGGCCTTCGAACATGTGACTACCATTGACCAAAGTCCACAAGGATTGAGGTGCCGCAGAACCAAAGGGGGGGGCGCCACAGGAAATTCGCCCGGTCGTCAAGGCTAGCTGGAAAAACTATTAAGTCGTCAGCGTCCATCATTCGGAGACTAACCTTAGGCTCGAACTCAAAGTCCTTCGGCGCGGGTCCTAGCAGCATTTCGCAGATCTTGATCCAGTCCTTAGGGTTCAGGCTGCACATGAGGCTCTCCAGGTCATCCCGCCCATTCTGGCGAACCAAGAGGGAGAAGTACGCCGACAAAATGCACGACACAGAAATTGACAGGTTGGGACGGAGATCACGCGAGACGGGGTGAGGGGCAGGAGGGAACCAAATCAATGTCAAACAACTGGTTGTCCGAGGTTCAGACAACCAAGAAGAGCACGGGTTCAACAGCAGCGACTTCGTCGAACGGGAAATTGGAAGTACGTGTATATCTACAATATCCAAGATAAAATAAAGTCGCAGCTAGTTCACCACGAACGGAGGGGAACGACAGCAAGTACGTCACTACCGTAGGTGACGCAAGATATCACACCTGTGTGACAACATTCTTGGAAGTCCAAAAATTATCACACGGTGGGGTATTCTGTTGGGGGTGTGATATCTTGTGTGAACCGTGTGATAAAACTGCACTCGCAGGACTCCGTCCCGCAGGCTGTGTGCTAACAAGGGGTGCGATAAAGATGGGGTATGATGATGACACCCCTGGGATGAATTGAGCCCACACGACCCCACCTGCAGGCCTGCAGAGGGTGTGACACGAAGGGGGTGTGATACTGATAGGGTGTGACAACGCCACCCATGGGATGAAGTGCGCCCACACGACCCTACAGGATGTGTGATGATCACGGGGAGTGATAACGTTACACGAATCATGTGCGGGTCTCAGTAGCGCGGGAAGGGCCAGGAACAACAGGTGTTGTCGCGGGAGAGCCAGCAGTAGGTTCTGCGCGGTTCTCAGCAACACGGCGGCGGCAGGCACAGCGGGTGCTGCGGGAGTTCCCGGGGCCACAGAAAAATACTCATGACGAAATTGGGTGTGGCGCCGCCGCTGGAGTCTGGCTCACTGGAGTCTCAGCCGCGATGCGTTTGCAGTGTTGAGTGTTTCGTTATCTCCGCGGTGTTGCGGGTCGCCACAGCTCTAGCGCGGGCTTAAGTGCTTCATGCTGACATAATCGGCCTACCACAAGTGGTGTTATATGGGGTTCCTTGGAAATGTATTTGGGGTTTGACTTATAAGGAGTGCGGAATCTGTGACCTGTGACCGTGTCATAGATGGATGCTTGCTCCAGGGCAATAAACAAATATCGTAAGGAGCGTGGTATTTCCTGTGGGTGTGGTATCTCGTGCCACCTACGGTACTCGCAGTAAATCCACTCACGAATCGAGAGGAACGGCAGCAAGGACATAAATACTCGCAGCTAATTCACTCACGAACGGAGGGAAACGGCAGCAAGCACATTTGTACTCGCAGATGATTAATTCACTCACGAATGGAGGGGGTTTCTCGTTGATCCTTTGAGGGAGGACCTCCAGCACTCCAGCCGGGATGTACCGACACGTGAAGGACAGCCACTCCAAGAGGAATCGCCTCGTCTTGTTCACGCCCATCTGGTCGGACCCCCAGTACTCCAGCCCAAAGTTCACAAACTTCCTGCTTGTTGGTCGTCGTTGCCGTTGGTGTTTCCCACGAAAGGCAGAGAAACGAAATCAGCACAAAACAACACAATGATGAACACATTTCGGCATTCAAAAAAGTGCCCCTTCCGCTTCCACCACGCCATAGACATTCATTTTGCGACGGCAGCAAGCAGTGGTCGAGGAAGAAATAATGGTGCCTGATGGTCCTCTTCGAACGTTTGTCGTTCGCTCTTCAGACCAGGCGTAACAGCTTCCATTTTCCTGTCACACAGCCCCTCAGAACAAATGTCCGGCCTTGCGCCGCTGCCTAGAACCATCGATGAGAGATGGACGACGAACGTGGTTGGAGGCTGGCCCGCCACACGCCTTCACGAAAGGTCGGAAAATCTGCTGACACCAGGTCTCGCGGGTATATCCTATTTTAGAATCGCGTCTTACCCTCCATACGGTTTCACCTCGGAAAAACAAAATGCACCGCGAAATTAACGATGCGAACGGGGACGAAAATCGACGAAGGCCAGAGGAGAAGAACAAACGACTGCACCCAGTACACACGGGTGGAGGCCCATCTTTCTCGGCAGATGAGCGGTGCTGACATGTCGTGTGCACACAGCCGTCGACAACCTTGTTTCTTTGCGCCGCTTCTAGGTCCCGCCCTGTTGTGCTTGTCGCTGGACTTCTGAGGGAAATGAAAGATGCGTCAACAGCCTAGTTGCTGGCATCATTCTGTTGCAGCACTGCAACACATATTCAACCGCATCAGAACCAACAGCTCAAGTACGATGACGTGATCTCAACTTTCTTCCCGTCACAGATCTGTCTCTACCAACACACGAATGGTGGCGGGTCCATATGATCCATGATCAAGACGTGACACGTTGATCTCGCTGACCTGTAGATGTCAAGCCTCTCCGAAGAGGAGATGTCCCAGTCCCTCTTTTCCTTCACCTCGGTCGGTAGCCACGGCTTAATCAAGGCACCCCTGCAGCACATCCACAAAACGAACGATTCCAAAAAAAAACGGAAAAAGACCAAGAACAGGGGACAGTTTTCAGGGGGCAGGGGACGGGGAGGAGAGGACAACGGGACGGGCCACATACACGCATGGCCGTGAGTAATCCTACACAAAAAA